AAAAAAAAAAAAGAATGTACTAGGTATGAAAGCTCATGTGTAATGGACATACAACACACGAAGTATGACAACGGGATGAGCCCCAGCCCCAGCACGCTGGGACCCACCTGTGCTCCTTCCTTGTGGCCCACCTCTTACCTCACTCCCAAGTATCAGCCTGAATTTCGTATTCATAGCTCTCCTGCTAGCATGCATATTTTCTTCTTTTTTTTAATTTTATTTAATTCCACTTGTTATTATTATTATTTTGACCAGATAGAGACAGAGAGAGAGAGAAAGGGAAAGCAAGAAAGCAAGCTGCCAGATCTAGAACTTGAACTGTGGTCAGCCATGTGGGAATCCAGCGCCCTTAACCACCACACCACTTGCCAGCCCCGTATATTTTCTTCTTAAATGCTTTTGCACTTGATAAAAAATGTATCACACTACCCACAGTCCTCTGCCCTTGTACTGTGGGTACTTATCCACGTCGTGTGCACACACACTTCGTGTTCACTGCTACATTAAGCATGTACACGTCCATTCTCTTACCTCAGTCTGCAGTTTTTGCTATTGTGACCACCCTGCTCTAAACAGCCCGGTACCTCTATGGTGGTGCACCTGTGCAGGTTCCTCTAGGAGAGATGCCCTAGATCGGGGACCAGGGATTAGCAAAACGACATCCTGTCTATGGAATCTAGCCAGTGGCCTATTTTTAAACTTCTGTAAAAACCAATGAATAAAATAAAAGACCCTGTGAGAGAGACCTCATGTGGTCCACAAAGTCTAGAATGTGTACTCTCCTGCCTTCATACAGAGTCTGCCACCTCTGCCCTGCAGCCCACATCGAGAGGGAGCAGGGACCTGCCAGGGCATAGGGTTACTGGATGGCCATTCACCATCCAGTCCCAAACTGTTCTTTGAAGCAGAAACAGCAATGTACACATCCACAGGTGGCCTGTAATTTCTGTTAATCCACATCCTCACCAACCAGACTTCTGAATTTCTGCCAACCTAACAGGTACTATGTTTTTTTCCCTCTCTCTTATCCTGATAATTAGAAAGGTCTAGCAGCTTTTCATATGATCCTGGCCACTCTCTTTCCTTCTGTGGAATGCCTGATGTGTCTCCTTGTCATTTTTCAGCTGGGTTATTGCCTTTCACGATACTGACGGAGTCGGCACTCTTCGTGTATCTTGACTGCTAACCCTTTGCTAGCTGTAACTACTGAGTCTCCCAATTTGTGGCTTGACTTTATAGAGTCTTTTAATGAAAAAAAGTTCTTAATTTAACATAGCAGAATGTATCCCTATCTTTTTTTAGGGAAAAATTATTTAATTCCAGTTGTTATTATTATTTTTTAATTTGATCAAACAAAGACAGAGAGAGAGAAAGGAAAAGCAAGAAAGCAAGCTGCCAGGTCTAGGACTTGAATCGCAGTCAGCCATGTGGGAACCCAGCGCCATTACCCATCATGCCACCTGCCAGACCCTTGAATTTATCCCTATCTTGACCTTCTAAAAATGTACAGATTAGCTAGGGCTCATGCTTATGAAAAAAGGAAAACCTGGAATAAACAGAAAAATGAACAAGTAGCCCCAATTCTGTCACAGATAATTTTCAAGAGGACAGTCTGCTCAAAAACCTAGCAAATGGAACCAGCAGTTAGTGTAATGGCTATGTGGCTGGACTCCCATGTAGTCGACTGTGGTTTGAGTCCCGGACCCAGCAGCTTTAAACTCACGCCAGGCGCGTGTACGTGCGTGCCCAAGATCCCGAGAGGAGAATGGAGGAGAAGGGATTGCGGCATGACCATCCCGCCTGGGGGGTGATTTCTCGCTTTCTGTCTCTCTGTCTCTCTCTGTCTTTCTGGCGAGCGCATGCACCCTATAGCAAAAACCTCTCAAGAAAAAGAGCAAGAAAAAAAGACTAGCAAATGAGCCATTAGCTACGTCAAATTGCTCAAGGAAAATATTCTTCCTATACAATAGGAAAAACCATCACTGGTCTCACCATAAACGTAGAGATGGACAATAAGCAATCCTTCTGCTGGATATCGACTCGGTGTACCACCTCAAGACCACAAGCAAGGTTCCAGAAGAGGAGAAACCACTGAGGTGAACAGACTCCACATTCTCTCCCACCTACAAAGGCAAAAACTCCATCACCCAAAGAAACAGCATTCCTTCTGTAAAACCAAGTTTTCAACAATGAGGACCAGAGTTAAACCGTCTGCTCTGCTGGGTCTCCAGCTGGCCAACTCGTCCTGCAGATCATGGAACTTGCTCAGCTCTGTGCCCAAGTGAGCTAATTCCTTACAAATCTTATATACACCAATATATCTGGCTGGTTCTATTTCTCTAATATACTACCTAAAATGATTTACAGAGTCCATGCAATCCTATCACATTTCTGATGGTGGTCTCTTTTTTGGGGCAGAAATAAAAAATATGATCCTTAATTATATGAAAATTCAGGAGAACTCAAATGGGTAACACAATATTGAAAAAGAACAGCAAAGTGGGAAAATCCATATTACTCCATTCCAAAACCTACTAGATAAGATGCAGTGATGAAAACTACGCATAGTAGTAACAGAAGAATAGATACAGACAGATGGAACAGAATGCAGAGGTCACAAACAAATCAGCACATCTACGGCCAAGTGACTTTTTCGTTGTTATTGTTATGGTGTGTGCTTGTCAAGGAGAAATGGAGACAGTTGGACAAAAAGGGAAAGTGAGAAAGTATCCCCCAAGGTGAAATGACCACACTATAACCCCTTCTCCTCCAATTTCCTCTTGGGATTTTGGGCATGCATGCACACGTGCCTGAGAGTTTTTCAAGTCACCAGATCTGGAACAGCAAGGTTCGCCATGTGGGATTCAGAGGCTTTAACTACTATACCACTAGCTTGCCTGCCAAGCAACTTTTGAGAAGTGTGCCAAATTATTCAGTGAAAAAAGAATAGTTTGTTCAACAAATATTTCTGAGACAACTGGGTAACTGTGTGCGAAATGAACCCAGACCTTACCTCATTCTAGTATACCAACTCAAAATGGATCAACAACCAAAATGTAAGATATAAACACCATAAAACAAGAAAACACACAGGCAACTCTTGAGTAAAATTGAATTTGGTAATGGATTCTTAAAAATGAATCACTCTTTCCCCCATTTCTCTGACAGGCACATGTGCCCTGTGACATATAAAAGGTACGGTTCAGAACCTTCACACATTGCTAGTGCAATGGTGGAAGGGTCTGGCAGTTCCTCAAAAAGTTAAACACATGACTCAGCAATTTACTCCTATGTAAATACCCAAGGGAACTGGAAACATACTTTCACACAAAAATTTGTACACAAATGTTCATAGCAATATTAGTCCTAAAGCAAAAAGTAGAAATAGCCCTAAGGTCCAGTAACTGGTGAATGAACACCATGTGGTATATCCATACCATGCAGTATTACTTAGTCATAAAAAGGACTGGCACAGGGACCAGCAGCTGGCATAACGGCTATGCTGCTGGACTCCCACGTAGTCGACTGTGGTATGAGTTCCAGACCCAGTGGCTTAAACTCATGCCAGCTGGGGGGGCGCGGGGGCCCAAGATCCTGAGAGGAGAATGGAGGGGGAGGGATTGCGGCGTGGCCATCCCCCAGGGGGTGATTTCTCACTTTCTGTCTCTATGTCTTTCTGGCAAGTACATGCGCCCTATAGGAAAAACCTCTCTCAAAAAAAAAAACACACTGGCCTAGTGATATGTGCTATAGCAAGGACATGGCCTAGAAACATTATGCTAAGTGACAAAAGTCAGAAACTAAAAGGTCACATGCTGCATAATTCCACCTATACCAAACCTAGGAGAAGCAAATCCCTAGAGATTATAAAAAGTATTAATAGACTCGTGGTTGTGGGGGGCCGGGACAAGGGAGTGACTGCTTAGTGAGTATGGGGTCTCTGTGGGTGCTGAAATGTTCTAGAATTAGACAGTTGTAAAAGTTGCATACACAAAATCCCTACATTGTGAACTTTTAAAAAAAAAGAATTATTAATTTGATTTATTCATTCATTTATTTTAATTTGAAAAGAGAGAGACACACAGGAGAGACAGAGAGAGCAAAGGAAAGGAAGCCACCAGGTCCAGGACTTGAACCTCAGTCGGCTACATGGGAGTCCAGCACCTTTAACCACCATGCCACCTGCTGACCCCTAACTTTTATTAAAATTACTTATTTATTTTAACATCTATTTATTTATTTTTCATTTTATTTTCTTTTATACATTCAATCACATTATTATTTGTCTTACAAAACGGATATTTCAACAGATGAACATTTCTCCGTAGTACTGTTTTTTTTTTGTTTGTTTGGAGAGGTTTTTCACTATAGGGTGAGTGCGCTCGCCAGACAGACAGAGAGAGACATAGAGACAGAAAGCAAGAAGTCACCCCCCAGGGGGGAAGGTCACACCGCAATCTCTTCTCCTCCATTCTCCTCTCGGGATCCTGGGCACACACACACATGCGCCCGGCATGAGTTTTAAGCCACCGGGTCCGGGACGTGAACCGTGGTCGACTACATGGGAGTCCAGCGACATAGCCATTACGCTAACTGCTGGTTCCCCCCAGTACCGTTAATAAAACTACTAAGTATCTTCAACAGATAATACCTCATTTCTTTCTTTCTTTATTCGTTGTGCTATCTGAGCTGCCAGGTCCAGGACTTTCACAATGGTCAGCCATGTGGAAGTCAGCACCTTAACCAGCATGTGCTGGCCTCCGACCCCTAACTGTTACTAGTTTTAAATGGTGAATTTTACAAATGTTATGTGAGGATTTTTTCCCCAGATGACCTAGCAAAGACCATTATTAAGGTGGCTACACGAAATAACAGATTTTCAGTATCAACAAAAATAGCTTTATAGTGGAAGAAAACATCCAGAGATTTCACAGCTAGAGAAAAACCTTGCTTCAAACCTTCAAAGGACAGGTTGACTCTCTTGCTAGCGGCCATTGCAATTAGTGCCTTAAATTCAAGTCAATGCTGGGAACCAGCAGTTAGCGTAATGGCTATGTCACTGGACTCCCACGTAGTCGACCGCGGTTCGTGACCCGGACCCGGTGGCTTAAAACTCACGCCGGGCGCGTGTGCGTGCATGCCCAAGATCCCGAGAGAATGGAGGAGAAGAGATTGCGGCGTGACCATCCCCCCTGGGGGGTGATTTCTCGCTTTCTGTCTCTATGTCTCTGTCTGTCTGGCGAGCACACACGCCCTACAGTGAAAATCTCTCAAAAAAAAAAAAAAAATTCAAGTCAATGCTCATTTACCATTCTGAAAATCCTAGGACCCTTAGAATTATGGTAGACCGACTGGGCCTGTACTTCCTGAATGGAACAGCAAAGCCTGGATGATCGCACATCTGTTTTCAACATGGCTTACTATTTTAAGCCCACTGTTCGGACTCATTGCCCAGAAAAATAAAAGATTCCTTTCAAAATATTATTGCTGATTGCAACACATCTGGCTGCTAAGAGCTCTGACGGATATACAAGAAGATGAATGTGTATGTGTTTTTAAAGAATTATTTAGTCTTATTTATTTACAATTATTTTTTAATTTGCACTCATCAGAGAGTGAGAAAGAGAGAGAGAGACAAAGAAAGCTGCCAGGTCCAGGACTAGAATCGTGGTCAGCCATGTGGGAGTCCAGTGCCTTAACCATCAAGCTATCTGCTGGCTCCAAAAGTGTGTGTGTTTTTAAAGAATTGTTTTATTTATTTAATTTTGTTTATTTATTTATTTTTAAATTGTACCAGAGAGAGACACAGAGAGAAAGGGAAAGTGAGAAGGCAAGTTGCCAAGTCCAGGACTCGAACCGCAGTCGGCTATGTGGGAGTCGAGCACCTCATGATTGCTAATACAGCACCCATTCTGTAGCCTGCAGATCGAGGAGTGCTGTAAACTTTCAAGCTTTATTATGTAAGCACTATATAAGAATATACCTGCCACAGAGAGCAATGCCTCTGAGCAAAGTCAACTGAAAACATCCTGGAAGGATTCACCATTTTACATGCCATTAAGAATATTTGTGGGGGCCGGCGGGTGGTGTGGTGGTTAAGGGCACTAGATTCCCACATGGCCGATCACAGTTCAAGTCCCGGACCTGGTGGCTTTCTCTCTCTTTCTCTATCCCTCTCTGGTCAAAGAAGAGAAGAAAAGGAAAGGAAAGGGAAGTGAAAGGAAGGGAAGCCAAAAGAAGCCAAGAGAAGCGAAGCGAAGGGAAGGGAAGGGAAGGGAAGGGAAGGGAAGGGAAGGGAAGGGAGAAGAGAATATTTGTGATTCAGAACCAGCGGATGATGTAATAGTTACATCACTGGACTCCCACATAGTTGACTGCAGTCCTGGACCTGGCAGCTTAAAACTCACGCCAGGCATGTGGGCATGTGTGCCCAAAATCCAGAGGGGAAAATGGAAAAGAAGGGATTGTGGTATGGTCATCCCTACTGGGGGGTGATTTCTCACTTTCTGTCTTTCTGGTAAACACATGTACCCTATAAAAATCTCTCTCAAAAAAAAAAAAAAAAAAGAGTATTTGTGATTCAAGGGAGGAAGGTCAAAATATCAATATTAGGACAAGTTTGAAAGAAGCTGATTCCCACTCTCATGGATGGGGTTCAGTGGAAGAAGTAATTGTGATGTGGTGGAAATACTAAGAAAACAAGTGGAGCTTGAAAAAAGTGAGTAGACGCCGGGCGCGAGTGCGTGCGTGCCCAAGATCCCGAGAGGAGGATGGAGGAGAAAGGATTGCAGTGTGGCCATCACCCCTGGGGGGTGATTTCTTGCTTTCTGTCTCTCTGTCTCTGTCTGGTGAGCACATGCGCCCTAAAGCAAAAACCTCTCCCCCCCAAAAAAAAAAGTGAGTAGAGAAAGTGGTTTCTCGAGATGCAATCTACTCTTGGTGACGATCACACTACAAACATTGTTAAAGTGACAACAAAGGACTGAGAATATTTTAAAGAGCAGTGGCAGGGTTTGAAAGGATTAACTCTAATTTTACAAGAAGTTCTACTGTGGACAAAATGGTATCAAACAGAACTGCATGCATCAAGAGATCATTCATGAAAATAAAAAATTAATCCCCT